ATCAGACTTGAGTCACTACGGGAGTATTAGGATAAGAAATCTTTGTGTTTAATTATTGTGTTTGTGATGAATATAAACAGTTTCTGGCATACTGAAGTTAACTGCATTTCACTGACTTTCATTTATAAGCACAGCAATCTGAATTCATTGTTGCGTTTGTTATTCCAGACTGTGGAATATACATTCTGTTACCGAAAGCCAATGATTATTCAGGTTTGTAAATCTTAGAACAACATTAGTTTGGGATAAGATTGGGGTTAAATATGTTCTTACAGGGTTTAAAATGGCTCAATAGAACTGTAAATAAGCCAATATATGTACCACCCTGCATCTTACGTTGTCAAATAACGTGTGATTGTCTTTGAATAATTCAATGCATAACGTGTACTCTGTCTAGTGACTTAGTCATTGTATAGTTCACATTTATTTATCCTCTTAAATTTCTCATTATAACTTAATTTATTGTAGAAATAGCATGAACGAATACTCCTTACATTTTTCTTGCATTGACCCACGAGTTATAATTATTTCACAAAATGTGTGTACAGAGACAACATAGATAATACTTGGGGAAAAACTGCGCCAGATAGAAAGGTTTCGTAGATCGCGCTGTTTTCCCTAAAGTTTTATGTATTTTCTCTGCATACAGAGTTCATGAAGTTATCCGATAAAAGAAACACTTCATTAACAAATATTGATTTCATGTTTAAAATATGTAATAGTATATGTCAGTAGCATAAGATCAGTTGTTAGTTCTTCTCTGTTTTCATCTGTAATTTTCGTGATTTTTTTTTTTTAATGAAACTGTAATTTTGGTTGAAGTGAAGTATGTTGACCAAGCGTGGCTTAGTGGTAAGCGTGCCCGGACTATCAGCAACGAGGATTCATGAATCGCGCCTCATTGATGCAAAAATTGCTCCGCAAATTTGGGACGTGGGTGTGCCCTAAGAGTGACTGTCAAATCCAACTATTCGGTCAAACAAGAGTAGCCCAAGAATTGTCAGTGGGCACTATTGACTATCTGCCTTTCCTCGTGTCTATAAGTTAAACATTAGAAACAGGTATGCGTAAATATTCCTTGTGTAGCTTAGAGTGGAAAATTTTGAAACAAAATTTTCGGTCCCCCGGTGGGAGAGCAGTAAGTTTTAGACTTACAGCCCTAAAATTTGGGGTTCGATTTCCCGTGGTGCACGCGGAAAATAGCCCAATGTTGCTTTGCTGTAAAAACAACACACAATTTTCATTAGCTCTGGTGGTGATTCTCTATCTTATTATATACAATTATAGAAGACTTAATAAATGTTCATTGTTGAACTTCTAATAACAGTAATTTATTTTTTATTCAGGTTGGTATTTTTGCAGTTAAGGTATGTTTTACTCGGAGTAAGTTTTACACGGTATTGTTTTTCGTGTCCCAGTTGTTATTTTTTTCGCTCACTTTGTCATACCTTTTATATTTACAGATTCCTCAACTTCTGTTTTTAAATCGTTACAGATTTGAAACGCGCACGTGTGTGTGTGTGTGTGTGTACACAAGATTTTATTTAGTTCCATTCCATCACCATATATAGAATTTGTTTTTCATTCTTAATGTGTGGTGTTTAATTTTTACCAGGTCAGATGAGCCGTCCTAATTATCCTCATACATTAATCAGAACTTTGCTTTGAAGAAGCCTAGTAACCATTTAAGGTAATGTTTTTGACCGGTTACCTTCCATAAACTGGATTCAGATCGTATCTTTGTTAATGGTATGTAAGAGCATACTAAATTCTGTATTAGTAGGCCCTCCTTTCAGTCGTAAAGATTGGGATATAAAGAAAAAGTATATTTTTTATTACATTTATTTTCCTCTCGCATGATTATAATAACAATTTTATTACATTTATTTCCTCTCGCATGATTATAATAACAATTTATATTATTCTCGTTTTTAATGGCATGTTGTCCAGACGTTTGCACTGATCTCTCTATATGTAGTTCCTGTGTTTATACTATGTTTAAAAACGTCCGGACTAATTTCTTTATACTCCGGCTTCATTTTGTAAGTTTTCAACAACTGCATCAAATAATTTGTTGAATATTGTGTATTAGCTGAATTTGTCTTCCCTTTTCTAGTAGATAATTCTGGCAGACTAGGCACTGATGGCCTTTATTTTACTTATACCAGATAAACGATTTTTCAGAAGTGTTTTGTTCTCTTTAGTCAAATCGTGGAGCTACCATTTTATTTCTGATTTATTTTTTAAGGAAAGCGATTACTTTCTTTGAGGTTTCATTCGTCTCTTGTTCCTCATTTCGTCTTTTATTCTTCACCGCAACTTTTTCTTTAAACGTATGTAACCAGTAGAGTTTGCATCCTTAATCTGTTCCCTTTTCTTATAACTGATTTTGATCGTTGTCTACAGTTTGTTCTTGACTTCATTTTCCATAAGATTTCCTGATGTTTTTTCTAGCTCACCTGATCCCAAGATTGCCTGCTGTTTTGCTTCTTCGAGGGATAAAGTTCTTTGCTAATTAATTTTTAATTCTTATTGTGCATACAGTAATGGAAATACACAAGTGATATGCAAACAATGAGTAACGGCAACTAGATGACGTATTTGAGTTTATTGATGTTAAAATCATGAAAAAAAACGAATAAGTTATACAATACACAAGCATTTTATATGTGATTCCTTTGCTTTACAGAGAGCATTGCATTTTGTTTTTACACAGGTTAGCAACATACGATTATGGAATGTTGTGGTCAGTGTCCTATATTACTCCCCACAATTCATCCAAGTTGTTTGATCACATTTTTCTACCACTTCAGTTTTTGCATAAGCCCATCAGACTTGAGAATTTTCATATCATGACTTTGTGCAGGCCAGTTCATGATTGTAAGAGTCCCATTTGGCTCTTTACCGTCAATTTATCGTTTTTCCACATTTGATGAACGCTTGGGATCATTGTTTTGCTAGAAGATGACTTCTGACCCTAATGATTCATGTTTCTGAGGGGATGGCATGATGGATCAGAATCTGCATGTACTTTTCAGCAGTCAGGGTGTCATCTCTTTTAGATAGATCACTGACACCATTTACTGAGATGTAGACAAAATTTGTACTGTTTCCCTTTCATACTTCACCGTAGATGTTGCACATTGACTATGATATAATTCTGCTTTCCATGGTCAAACAGTCATTGAATATTTCTGAACAGTTCAAACTTGGATTCACCTGTGAAGAGCACCTGTCTCCAGAATTGCTTATACCTCTCTGATGCCAATTTCAGCCTTTCGGTTTGGTTGCCTCTTCCCATCAGTGGATTCCATTTAGACCACGTTGTGTTAATATGTATCCTATTATGCTAGAGGTAACATTTACACTTCTACTTACAGGAAACTCATTGGACAGATTTATATTTGATCGTCATTTATTTCATAAATATATATCCTAACATACTTAACATTTTTAGAGTCTCAATTTTCTATCTTGGCCACTACTATTATTAATGGAGCTAGTTTCAGTCTTGTATATAGCTCCTACTGAACCATGGAACCTTGTAGAACTTTTTCACATGAAGTACACTTAATAAGCAAACATTTTTATTTCTACCTGCTATTCATACAGCATTTCAGTCCAGGGAGCCAGCTTTTATACTGATGACATTTTCTGATGACAACCAATTGGCGACTATTCTTTGATGCAGTTCATTTTTACAGGATAAAGGGGGCACTCCCATAATATTTGCCTTTTATGCTCTTTTACTCACCATTTCAACAATCATTTGTTTTACTATATACCCCAGCACTTCTACTTCCAATTGGGTAGTATCCTTTTTATTCTTACTTAATCATCCTTTACCACCCCACAAATTAACTGTAATATATTTTACTTTTGGCTTCTTGTCAATTACAGAGAAATCAAGTATGTTATATTAAAACGATTTTGTATCCTTACAATGATGTTGCAATCTATGTGCCCTGTCCAGTCATGCTCTATCTGACAATTGACTATCTTGACAATAGCACTGCAGTATAGTTTCCATTGCAAAGGGCTTTCATGTCAATGCACAAACCACACCGCTCGTCCTTGCATGCTTTCCTTTAATATATCAAGTATTAGGACAACAATTTCCCAATGCCCATCTAAACAATTTGGTAACTTGACTGGTATGTCTTTTCATGGAATATCATAAATACTCATTTCATTTTCCAGCTACTTGAGATATGCAATGGTTAAATAGATATTTTGTGGATTCCACTTACGTACACATGACTTGTGTCATTTTTCCAGATGGAGATCCTTCTTTATTATGTTGTATACTATTGCCTGGCCACATAAACGGTTTTTGCAACTCACCTCAATACCTTAGTAACATAGTATGCAGAACTTCTAGTCTCTATTGGGTGTTTGAGAGTGGGTTTGCAGTTAGTTTAGTTATTAATCTCTTGCAAAAACATTCCATCAGTGTGGAGACCCAGAAGAAGAAAAAAAAACAGTTTGAATCACTAAAGAAAAAAGACATAGCATCAAGATAAGGCACTACAGTGTCGTTACAAGAAGATTGAGAGGGCATGAAGAATATTCAGGAATTTAGTTCCAGATCCTTAGAATGAGCTCCACAATTCTTGCTTTCCATGGTTAATCCATTTTCATAGCATTGCCCTCTCATGTCTTCAAGAGTGTCCTAGTTTATGAAGTGTTTGTAGTAGCAACTCTTTTATCAGTACCCATTGAATCCCTTGTATCTTTGAACCCTGTAAAATGTTTTATAATTTCAACTACACAAGAATCAAATAAATAGTGTCCTCTGTTCTTTGTGACTAATGTATGGGGTATAATCTATAATGCTTTGAATAATTTTACAAGCTATCAGCTGTACAAGCTCACTTTGATTTATTTTCCAAGATAAAGACCCTTATCTTCCTGCGTTCTCAAATGTTTTGGTTAAAACATGGAATGTGTCAAAACTTCAGACTTCATCTAGAAGGTCTGAAGTTCGTCAAAGTAGAAGACACTGCAGGGCTAAGCACTTTCTGATAGCTACAAGTCTCTAAAACACCATACTAGTGTTTAAGGTCTAAATGCAACCTCATTGTTTCATATGTATGGTCTATTCCTTTCTTATATGTACTTCTATGTATTGATTTTTAAAAGCGGCCTAACAGTTAGATGTTTTCTTAACATTTGATGTTATTCATATTATTATCAGTTAATGCAACTTGTGTTGAAGTGAAGAGATCACAGCAGGAAAGATAACAAAACAAAACAAAATAAGGCCTTCATACTTCTTTTCCATTAGTAACCTGAAAGTTATAATAGGTTGCACCAAGTCTTTTTCCGTATTCCTCCATCGGAAATTTAGATATCTTTCACTTGTAATGGACCTTTTAGTACAAGTAATTTTCTCAAGTCATCTCTGTGAAGGATTTCTTGAAACTTCAGTGATATGATCATCATCATTCATTTTAGTGTTGTCAACAAGATTTTAACTGTTGTTTTCACCATCATTTTCAATTTACTGTTTCAAAGTTAGATAATTTTACATGTGCCAAAATCCACCAGAGCTCCTTGGTTTCTCACTATTGTGTTTTATTTTTTCATTGTTTTTCACAAGACCAAATTCTTTGAATGCTTTGAAAATCCTTCTTCAAAAATATTTCATTGAAACCATTGTTTCTTTTCTGACTTCCCTTGCTGTTTTCTGTTTCTTGTCCATTGTCAACATTTTGTTATTAAAAACTAATTAATGATCTAATTTGAACTGCTAGAAAAATTAACCAAAACATGCTATTTTCCACATCAATCCGCATTACACTGAAACAGGAAGAAAATGTTACCTACACTAATCATGCATGTTTATAGAGCTAGTGAAAAGTGCTTGTGGAATCACCTAGGTTTAATAAAGAGAGGAGAAAATTCTCAAATTTACTTTGTTTTGTGCTGCAAAGCCTGATGGCATTTCATGCACCAACAAGTAAGAGTAAACTGAAACTTGCTACAAAAATTTAACGAATTGCCAGCTTGACTCTGGAAGCAATTAACACTGCTTAGCAATAAACACAGTACAGTACCTCAATCTGTACTGCTCTGACATTACTTAAAGTTCAACATCTTGCTGTATTATTTTAATTGGTGTTTTTCCCCACTTTGTTGTTATTTATTTCTGTTATCTTATTCATTCATCTTTTGTTTTCCATTTCATTTTTCACTTTTTTGAGACTAATTTTCTGTTCTTTTATTTCTCTACTACTACTACTATTCTCAGTATCCCCTAAGTTTTACATGATCCAACAACAACCATATTGACAAAAGAATCACCACTTTCCAATTATCATGGTGAAAAAAAATATTGTTCCTTACAGAAGGAAAAGTTGTAGGTTATCACAATCAGAACAGTGTTCACTACAGGAAAGATGATAATCAGTAATAACAAAGTTGGTATTGAATGCTTAAATAAAGGTTACTACTAATTAAAAGTTATTTTCATAAATTACCTCACTAAATTTAGGAATAAAAATAGTTTGCTCAGAATGACTTCTAAAAGAAATTTCAGGATCACTAGGTTTCAGCCTACAAATAGTGATTAGTTCATAATGTATTTTATAATCACAGCCAAAGGAGTGTTCCATTAAACAAACTTATTTCAGCAAAAACAGAAAATTGTTTAATTCATAGAGTAAATATGTGAAATAAGTTATTTTGCCTGAGTAAACTGCTAAGCCTAGAAAAAGCTGCAGATTGTTTTTGAAAGCCATATTTCAGTATAATAAACAATTTCAAATTAAATATTACATTTTTAATGTGTTCTTCAATTTTTTACCTGATTTGTCACTTTTTCTACCATTAAGAAGTCCTTAGTAGTGATCCAGTTACAGTATCAGTGCCCTCTAAGGACAGTGATGATCTATCTTCAATCCAACCTAATCCTCCACGTGAATTTGCCGATGGCAGTAACGAAAGAACCATTGAGAATTCTCAAAATACATCTGAAGTTGGTGAGTTAAATTTTTCTACCAATAGCTCATTCATGTCAAATGTTGGATGGTTATTCTTAGGAATTGTTGTATTTACCTAAGTTACTGTAAAGTCATCAACCTTCAGTTTGTTTTTATTCAACATATTTTCCATAACTTGTGTGATAAATATGAGAATGCATTGACTGCTAATCTAGTATTTCCCTCTCTGGTCCATCATTAGTACCCACTCTACTTTTTAAAACTTCTGTGGTCAAGGAAGATGCTTAAAGTGCAAATAAAAGAAAAAAAAAGTGCACTTTCCTATCAGTTTCAGCAACTGTTGTTAACCTTCACTCGTATACATTTGAACAGAATCTCTTCATAAAAGAATCAAATGAAAATCACTCTTAAATGAATCTCCATGAATAAAGTGAAATTAAATTCAGCACAACAAACTAAAAGGATTAGCATTAAGAAATATATTATCAGTATAGAACAAAGTTTATCATCATTATCTCATAATGTTTGTTTTTCACTTTATATTCATTGTCCTTGAAACAGTAAAATATTTACATTAAGATAGTGAGTACAGTTAGTTAGCCAAATAACTGTTTCGTACATACGGAATAGCATATATTATCAAAAAAATAAATCTCATCAACACCAAAAATAATCTTACATTAAATTTATATGGTTACAGTTTGTATGTAAATTTTATTCTTTTTTTTTTATTTAACTCTATCCTTTTCATCTAACAAATAGTCATAGTAAAGTAATATTATCTTACAGATCTTGAGTACATTTGGCACTACAGAATTTCTTGTAGTTGGTTAAAGTATCTTTTAGCCCTACTTCTGGATCAAATTTATTCTTCAGAAACAATTCTTTATTACAAGTTAGTACCATTCCAATAACTACAGTTTTTTAGACAGAGATGGGTTTTTTCCACATTTTTGCTACATGATGCTCCAATCTATTTTTTACATTTTTAGTGGTTTTAAAATAATTCATTTTTTAACAGGAAACTAGAATTATAATATTTTAGACTTTTATGTTTAATGCTGTTTTTGTTTTAATCATAATTCATAGCTAGCTCTACTTTACCATGATACTTGACAGGCTGGGAACACACACAAATGGTCAATTGAACATTAGTGCTACTAGCGGATATACCTGTGCGATGCATGGTGATAGGTTTGTGAAAGTTAAATCATTCATATGATTTTTTTATTGATTTTATCGAGAAGATTCATTGTTTTGTATTATCTATGACTACAAATTTACTGGGATTTGTGGCTATGTATG